TTTAAAACCAAAAGTGAAATGAATAAGTCTCAAGCTGAAGGAAATGCATTCACACCTGTACAGTACAGGGTGCAACTCAAGTAAATCCTGCCATTCTGGACTCCAGAAGAACAGGAATACATACAGGTCTTTCTCAAAGTAATGAAACAGGCTGGGAGTTTTTAAAAGCCCCAGGAATCTTTTGCAGGTGTTTAGAGTTAATTAGTTGATTCAGATGATTAGGTTAATAGCTCGTTTAGAGAACCTTTTCATGATAAGCTATTTTGTTTTAGATAGGAATTTTTAGTTTTCATGAGTTGTATGACAAAATCATCAGTATTAAAACAATCAAAGACCTGAAATATCTCAGTTGGTGTGCAATGAATCTAAAATATATGAAAGTTTAATTTTTATCATTACATTATGGAAAATAATGAACTTTATCACAATATGCTATTTTTTTTTCAGAAGAACATATTGCAATAAAAAATAAAAAATAAATGAACACAAATGTGATGTTAATTCCTAATTATAAGTGAAATGTTAGTCTGGAGCTACAATAACCATCATTCACACAGTGACTCTGAACGTACTCCCGATTTCTCTAAACATGCATGGGACAAAAGAGCTGTCAGTCATTTTTATTTCTTTTTTTTCTTTTTCATTTAAAGTCCCTGTAAAGTCAAAATTAAGTATGTGTTCTGTGTCTGTCATACCACAGAAAAATATGATATTAGCCACCCAGCCAAATTTGAATGATAAAAAAAAGCCGACAAGTACATAAAATAAGCTATCAAAATCTTGAAAAAATCAGCAGTTATCTCTGTTCTCAAACGCTGGGGGCGTGTCCGCTGGCTGCGCTAAAACCACGCCCACTCGCGGGGAAGCTGTCGACGGTGATATTAGGTGAAACTGCTCTCGGGACGGGAGGATAAACGCTGAGGCGGAAGATAGTCGTTTCGGCCCCGTTCACCAGCAGCATCGGATTATCAGTGAATGCCAGTTGTCTCTGAGAAAAGTTTATAAAACGATCCTGTGTAAAATGATCAGAGGCGGTGTTGCTGTCGGTGATCCTCAGTTCTTCATCAAGGTTGGCTCTACACAAAATTAATCCACCTCTTCTTGATGTGATCACCTTTTAGGAAATTTAAGTAAAGACACCGATCTGTTTTGTACATGATCGCATCCATTTAGTAGCCTATGCATTTCCTTGTCAAAGGCATAGCAAGCTAGCAAACTAATAGTACTGACAACTCGCGATTGAGCGGCGAATGCAAATGTGCTATTGTTAGGGGAGAGATCAGCCCCTGTCTATGGATCAGCCAATGTGCGTCATCAAGTTAGGGCGTGTCCACGAGCTCTTGGGCTCCAGTGCGTCATCGAGCCCTGTTTTAGCCCCGCCCAAAAAATACGTAAAATAGCAAGGGTGAAAAACGGTTTAACGGTCTAACTCCGTATTTCTGAACTTCACAGTTCACAGTCTTTGTAATATGTTTTAGCAATATCATTTGTAACATTTATAATGTGTTTAGAAATTTTTTGTTGAATTACCTTTACAGGGACTTTAACCTTTATTTACCCAGGTAAGCACACTGAGAACATTTTCTCATTTACAATGGCGACCTGGCCAAGATAAATGTACAGCTTGTAAATGGAAAGTTGACTGTGTTTGCTTGGAAAGTTAACACAGTCAACTTGCATTACTTATTTTAAAAATTAGATACTTAATTTGTTTCTTAAAAGAAAGCAATCTGATACACGTACATGTAATATACCCTCAATGCTGATTATGAGGGAGACTTTGAATAGTTCACTCAAAAGAGCCCTTTATAACCAAAACCCCACCACAGCACTCATTTACACACGTAAACCTAAATGACTGATCAATGTACATAACACATGTCATTGAAAGACGAAGTGAGATGAGATGACACAAGATCCCCAAAGAGCTGATGTTCATTTGTTGTCATTATATTTGATCAAATACAATGTTTATGAGCATTACAGACAGTATATTGGCTATCGGCTGCTCTGACCTCTTGGTTATTGAAAAATAAAATATCAGTCAAGCATTATATATGATATTTTCAAACAGAATACCAGATGTTTGTGCTATCACAGTTTGAGTGGGGAGGCTTAATTGCCTGCCAAGCAAATGATCGTTTAAACCTATTTAAAATTTTGTTTTGATATATCCGAGCAAAGCTGTAAATGATTCAGACAGATCTGTACATATTTAAAGATTAATCACGGAAATCTTCAGATGTTAGACTCAGTCCCTGGCATTGTTAGTTTATAATTAATTTAAACTGCACTCTTTTTAGAGTTGCAGCCAGGTCACATTAATAATCATTACCGATGTAAAATAAGGACGGAAGACGTCTATCACCCATCACGATCTGAGACTCCATCGCCCACACAAGTTTCAGAGGCAAGATAGAACGAACGAATGAACAAACGCAGTGGCTGCGACATGACTCTTAAATTTGATATAGCTGAACACATCCTCAGAGAGCTCGCCTTATTATCGTTACAGTCTCAATCACTCCTGATTAATCAGAATCATTAAATATAGGTATATAGGACACATATATGGACATATATAATATGAAATATAATCGGCTGTTAGGTGCAAAAAGTATCTAAGAACGATGGTAGTAAAAGAGCAGTATATATCTCCCTTCAAACAGACAAGAGGGAGAGAGAAAGAGAGTGAGGGGGGTGGGGTTCAATCCCTAATTGCAATGCATAATTTAAGAAGGCTGAATAGCAACATGTAATTTGTCTGAGATGCCAGCAAACATGGCAATGCAAGACACAAATGTAGTGCCTGCAGAATCCTGCATTATTTACTTCTTGAGCTGTTTAATTAAGCTCTGTCATTATTCTCCCTTCCTCTTCTCCACACCTACACCCCTCTAATATCTCCTCCCTGCAGGACAGCACGAGAGCAACGAGAGGGAGAATGAGATGAGGAGAAGAAAATGAGAGTCTACAAGACAAACCAAAAAAAAAAAAAAACTTGGGCAACCCAGGGTTTTGCTTTAGTGTTGTTCTTTTATAACTTCCTGTTTGGGGCTATAATAAATAAATAAATAAATATATTTGTATTTTACACATATATTTTCAGAACTGATCTATCTGTCAGACGCCAGCTGCAGATCAACATAATGCAGTATATATATATATATATATATATATATATATTAGGGCTGTGCAAAGATTAATTGTGATTAATCACATCCATCCAATCACATCCAATCACATGCATGTACATTTTTAAGAAATTTTAGTAAAAAATTTATATATGTGTATATATATATATATATATATATATATATATATACACATTATCTTTATTATATATGAATATGGATATTTTATATATGAATAACACTCTTTCGTAAACATATACATGCATGTGTGTATACTTATACACTCACCTAAAGGATTATTAGGAACACCTTTTAAATTTCTCATAAATTTAGTGTAGCACACCAATAGCCCATCTTTGGGATGTGGTGAAACGGGAGCTTTGTGCCCTGGATGTGCATCCCACAAATCTCCATCAACTGCAAGATGCTATCCTATCGATATGGACCAACATTTCTAAAGAATGCTTTCAGCACCTTGTTGAATCAATGCCACAGAGAATTAAGGCAGTTCTGAAGGCGAAACAGGGTCAAACTCAGTATTAGTGTTTTATATACAGTATATATATATATATATATATATATATATATATATATATATATATATATACACAGTGGTATGAATAAGTTTTGGCACCCATGCTAAAGTTGCCTAAAAAGAGGAATAAAAAATCATCTTTTGGATATTGATCTTAATGCCTTAATTAGAAAAATGAGGAAAACCCCAACCTTTAAGGACACAAATTTTCTTTGTGAATGAATAATGTATCATAAATAAATAAATGTTTTTCCTTAAAATGCAGGGTGCATAAGTCAGGGCATGTTAAATTCCCATAGAGTCAGGCAGATTTTTATTTTTAAAAGCCAGTTATTTCATGGATCCAGGATAATATGCATCCTGATAAAGTTTCCTTGGCCTTTGGAATTAAAATATCCCCACATCATCACACCTCTTCCACCACACCTAGAGATTGGCATGGGGTACTCTCCATAAGATCATCTTTCAATGCAAATCAAACCATCTATTCACCATCACAAATCTACAGGACTATTGACTAAATGGTAAAGACAAAAATGGTGGGAAAAAAAAAACTTGACAGGTACAAGAAAAGATAATTTCGTATAGATTTTAATCCTAAATCTGATGATTAAGAAAGAAAAATCCATGGACATGTAGCTCGTAATACTAGATGTATGTCCCATTTAAGCATTCTTGTTGTCTGCTGTCCTAGTACATGACATTGCTGATACACATAGTGAAATATAAGCCCTCATTCACATACACTGTTTTGTCTGGAATTGCCAACAGTCATGTCCACTATGATATAGCCCATATCTGACCATAAACAGCACAGACATGCAAATAAATTACATGAAATTCAACATTAACCCCATGTTCACACTGGTGTTGTCACTGTGGAGTTATAAAATGGATATTTTAGTTGAAGACATGCTTCTTTTCTTTGCAGAGAATTTAGTGTTAAACCCATCAAAGCCCTACAAATCTGTGTTCTTTAATAAAGGCCTAACCGTACGTTTTATGTATATAGCTTTTATTCATGTAACTTTATATGGCTGAGACTGAGAGTCGATTGTAAAGATAGAGGAGTCCATGAAACAATGGCCAAGTTAGAATAAAGTGCGCATTTTTTTGTGTAATTATTCAGGGAGAGTTCTTGGCAGGACTTTCATTTGGCATCACAGCCAAAGTTGCTTACAGGCACAACGTAAATTATACTCAGCAAAGTGTTTTCTACATCCTTCCATGATCAGATACGTACAGTGCTCTGGATTTATACTTCTGATACAGTAATGATGCAGCTGTATATTATGGCATCATGAAAAGGGGTCATTATAAACAGCACCCACCTCGTCCTGAAGTTAGCTGGATGCGGGTGTCCATCGTAGAGGGATAAAAAGTCATAGTCCTCCTCCACCGCGAATGACTGAAAGACTATTTGAATTCGGTTGCCCTCCTCAGCTACAATAACCCACGTACAGTTTGCCCCGTTCTGATATCCATATGGAAAACCAGGACTTTCAATGGTCCCATTCCTTCCTTTTAATGTTCCACCACATGTATATATGAAACCTGTAAAGAAAAAAGAGAAAAGTGTTCACTCTCAAGGCATCAGAAACATTACAGGTGTGTGTGTGCGTGTGTGAGAGAGATATATTTTAGGAAAGGTTGTGTGCAAAGTCTTTATATTGAGATGGTTTAAAGTCCTCATTTCTAGAATAATCCAAATTAATGATAAAATAATAAAATAAAATAATGGGGAAGTATGCAAAATAAGAAAATGTTTCTGCTCATAAAAACACCCGTATACAATTGAAGAGTTCAGATGCAAAAGCCTCTAAATGCCATTTGAAATTTTCTTCTTTAATGATGATTTTTACCAAACTTGTATATTTAAGTTCAGTAATTTCACTTAAATAACAATTAATAGGTAATTATCATTGCCATTTAAGTGAAATCACTGAACTAAAATATACAAGCTTGATAAAAATTATCATTATAGAAGAAAATTTCAAAAGGCACTTAGAGGCTTTTGCATCTGAACTCTTCAAATATTAATAAATGAGATCCACAATGACCAATTCCTACAGCAATGCATTCTTCATTGTTTATACATACTAAACAACGATGGGCTGTTTTAACCCAGAATTGGGTAAAATATGGACAAACCCAAATATTGGGTTAAAAATTTAATTAAAAATTAACCCAACTTTAACTTTCACATTCAACTGTACCTTTTTTAACCTAAATTTGGGTTTGTCCATATTTTACCCAAATTTGGAGATCTCACTGCAGAACATGAAATCCACGGGGAGGAGTCGGATCCAGATCCAACTCCTCCCACCTTACATACACCTAAACCTACCCAACTCCGCCCCCTGACCCCAAATCCCACACCTAATCCCTAAACCCAACCCTAATCCTACCCGTCTCCACCCCTTGGATCTTGATCCGACTCCTCCCCTTGGATCTCATGTACTGCGTTGAGGTGCTACTTTTATAATTAAAAATTAACCCAACTTCAACTTTCACTTTCAACTGTACATTTCTTTACCCAAATTTGGGTGTGTCCATATTTGACCCAAATTTGGGTTGAAATAACCCAACATTTTTATAGAGTGTATATATATATTATACATGGATGTCTTAAAATTCATACCAAAATGATAAATACATGTTTATGCACACTACTGTATCAAAGAAGACACACCACCATCACATTTCTTACTCCGTTCAACATGTGGAATCTGGTTTGTGCGTGTCATGCAACTCCAAGTTTAAACATTTTAATTTGTAAGAGAACTGGCCCTTTATCTGTAAAGCTATACAGTTGATTTGAGAGTGTAAGCTTGAGGACTGGTGTTCGTTCCTGGCTGTTTTATTAGCCATTGTGAAACACTGTCTCACAAGCTTTGAGTGGAATTCAATAACATATTGAGTGAAGGAAAGCTTGTTTGTATAATTAAAGCAATATTTAATTAGAAGCTACTGTCAGGAGGCCAATGGAAATTCTATATTATACACAAAGGTGTTTTTACTGTCGACGGTATTCATTTCGGGATAACTTTACAGCAAACAATTGAAAAACAGACACAATCATGCTGTCCGTTACCAAGGACTGTATTGACGGATTAAATAGAATTAAACTACATTTTATGCTCACAGGAAATGACAACACTGAAGAAAATATAACCGCTATTCTGTCACAGAAAACAGCTGTGCACTAGATGTTGCACATGGCAGTAGCTATGCAGTGAATTAATATTCCTTAGAGATTTGTAAGTTGTAATTTATTGCCACATTTTAAGAAGAATTGATCTGGGTCAGCCTTAAACGGACCGCCATCTTGCCCTCTCTTACCTAGTGACTCAAGCAACCCAATTCCCTGAATCCAACCTGATGATAAATTATTCAACCCAACCAGTTCTATCGCACATTGCAACACAAAACCTGAGCAGTTTGGAAAGCAAAGTCTGTCCAGATCTAATCAACGGTGCGCTGGGACCATCATTTGCAATATTTGTGGGGAATGTGTCCACAATGAACCACATTAACCCAGTATTCAGCTTGCTCACATCTGTAGGGTTTTTCATCTGTCTGCACGCATCAGTCTCTAATCTTTAAGGTAGCAATTGTGTATGAGTGTATGTGCTCACTGGCCCTGGGCTGTACAGTAGACTGTGATAATCACATGCTCATTACATAATATTCTAATTAATCTTATTTAACTTGGAATGAACAGGGCTTCATGACTCCAATGAATGACTATATTAAAAATATGGATGGATGTTTTTTTTATTTTTTTCAAAACTATTATATACTGTATTTCTCGACCCTAGGCATGTGTACGATCTGCTTCCTGCCACCCATGATTGTTCAGTGGCCCATCAGTGATTCGGTGTGAAGGGTGGAGGCCCTCCAGGCTCTAATTGCACCATAAGCTGCCATGGGAAATTAGCACCAATGTGGTCGCCAAGGAGTGTGAGGAAGAAGCACTCTATCATATACACACACACACACACACTTAGTTGAGAGCGAGGGGACTGACTGTATCTGTGAGGAGGCAAGCCAGTCATATGGTCACTGATGGTCAGTTTTGTGGGTTGTAGATTTGCTATGACAACATCCAGTGAGTGGATCTATGAAAGAAGGGAGATCTAAACTCTAAACAATGTTGGGTTGTTTTAACCCAAAATTGGGTAAAATATGGACAAACCCAAATGTAACGGAGGCCAGCTAGTAGTTGCTGTGTAAGTAAACCTCACTCCCCGATCTCAATAGGCGCTCTAGCGACAGACACTAGAGGCTGCAGTCTTTAGCCTCCTTGTTAGCGCGCCTGACTCTCATGCCGGAAACCCGGGTTCGAGGCCCGCTCGGAGCGGGTCGAGTTGGACCCGGGTGTGAGGGATTACACAAATGTTGGGTTAAAAATGCCATTTCAAATTTTAACCCAACTTCAACTTTCACTTTCAATTGTACATTTTTTAATTACATTTTTAACCCAACATTTGGGTTTGTCCATATTTGACCCAAATTTGGGTTGAAATAATCCAGCATTTTTTAAAGAGTACACTCTACGTATAAATGCTGTGTTGTTTTAACCCAACTTTGGGTCAAATATGGGTTAAAAATGTTAAAAAAAAATTAACCCAGTGTCTGGGTTTGTCCATATTTGGCCCAAAGTTCACTCTAAAAAATGCTGGGTTATTTTAACCCAATTTTGGGTCAAATATGGACAAACCCGAAATGTTGGGTTAAAAATGTAATGTAAAAATTTAACCCAACGGCTGGTTTAGTCCATATTTGACCCAAAGTTGGGTTAAAACAACCCAGCATTTTTTAGAGTGTTGGGTTAAAACAACCAGCATATTTTATAGTGTAGTAACAAAAGATTTGGTTTATTAAAATCCTACATAAAGCTGTTTTGCGTTTGCAATCAAACAGAATTTGTTTGCTTTTTGGGTATGATGGATTATGGGGGATTTTTTTTTTTAAATGGTTTGACTCATCTATAATATATTTAGTACATATAATTATATTTTCATCGTCTATCTATACCAGCATACGTTATCTTCACATTTTAAAACCCTGATATTGAGTGGAAACCCATTTTCATTATTATGATCGTAATACCTAAATCAAATTAATATCTGTGTATTGGTTATAATGAATTTGCACAGGCATTTACCAAATCTAAATGACTTTTAAACATTATTAATCATCTGCCGATGCAATTTAATCTGTTTGCATGGACACCATCCTATAATTTAGGCATATGAAAATACACCTAATCATAATCATTAAGAAAAACCATATAAAGCAAAGGCATGTGGTTTTGCGCATCTGAAAGACGCAATAACAAGTAAGGCTAGATCAGAATCGGCATTTTTTTTTTGTGCAGGCATACTAAACTTTTTTTAAAAAATCACAGACTGTACAACGAAGATTTAGCCTAAAGTGGAATTTACTGTTGCCGTAATAGTTTGTTTTTATGATGCAATAAGAAATGCAACACTTGCTTCAGCATCGTACGTAATGTATATTTTATTATGCATCTTTGTAGTGGGGTAGAATCAGGTCCAGGGATATGAGAGGAAATATTGCCCTGCATACCATTATTACTAAAATATTAGTGAATATTGTGGACAGTCAGGAACAGAGTGGTTCTATAAAGGTGTTTATTATTCCCGTTTTTAAGGACTGTTGCTCAATAAAAGCTACAAAATAAAGAACAGCTGTTAGCTGTGCCTGCAAGTCTTAATTTAGTAGTTTTTAGGGGACGATTACATTTATATGCACATACAAGCCACGATTTGTAGAATAGCAAGAGAAAAGTACATTTCAGCATTGACAAAGTTAAATATTAGATGATTAGCGCATTAGCAAAGCAAGTTTAAAATTGTTAAAACTAAACACAATGTTTTGACATCCACCTGAATCAATTGTTTGAGTAGTAGTGTGTGGTATTTACTAGTTACCAAGGGACCAGATCACATGGTACTAGCCATGATGAGATTAGCTTAGACAGTAATTTAGGTTAAAGAGAAGCAAATGCTACAAACCGAGAAGCTAGTTTTCCATTGATAAGGAAATAAATCTCTTCCGAGTGTGTCCCCCTTATGAGAGTCCCCAAAGACAGCTGGAAGATCGTCCAGTTCTCATCCTTACTTGAGTAAAAAGATTAATACAGAGATTTTAGCCCACTCCATCTACGTAATACACAAGCTAAAAGAGCACAGCATAGCATTTGCACAGAAGCTGCTGATAAAACAAACTGACATGCCCATAATGGAAAAACCCCAACTAATTAAGATTTACTGTTTATCTCTCTTCTCTCCCTTAAGGGGCTGATTAACATGGGGGATAGAGGAGAAGTGTAGAAGAGCTGGATATGTGGACTTAAGCACCTACACAGAAAAAAACCCCACAATCCTACATGTTTCAGGAGATTTTGTTATGTTGAGGTGTAGTTGAGGTGATCATGAGCTTATTGAGAAGAATCATCAGACCGCCTCTGCCCATTACGAACATTACCGGCTTCTTTTTTTTAAAGTTTATTTCAGTGTAAAAGT